TCTTCTTCTTCTTCTTCTTCTTCTTCTTCTTCTTCTTCTTCTTCTTCTTCTTCTTTTTCTTCTTTTTCTTCTTCTTCTTCTTCTTCTTCTTCTTATTCTTCTTCTTCTTCTTCTTCTTCTTCTTCTTCTTCTTCTTCTTCTTCTTCTTCTTCTTCTTCTTCTTCTTCTTCTACTACTTCTTCTTCTTCTTCTTCTTCTTCTTCTTCTTCTTCTTCTTCTTCTTCTTCTTCTTCTTCTTCTTCTTCTTCTTCTTCTTCTTCTTCTTCTTCTTCTTCTTCTTCTTCTTCTTCTTCTTCTTCTTCTTCTTCTTCTTCTTCTTCTTCTTCTTCTTCTTCTTCTTCTTCTTCTTCTTCTTCTTCTTCTTCTTCTTCTTCTTCTTCTTCTTCTTCTTCTTCTTCTTCTTCTTCTTTTTCTTCTTCTTCTTCTTCTTCTTCTTCTTCTTCTTCTTCTCCTTCTCCTTCTTCTTCTTCTTCTTCTTCTTCTTCTTCTTCTTCTTCTTCTTCTTCTTCTTCTCCTTCTTCTTCTTCTTCTTCTTCTTCTTCTTCTTATTCTTCTTCAGGATTTTTTAAAATAATGAGGTTTTAAACTAAATTTAACTTTCTAATTTATCCAGTTATAATCAGAAAACCAAGTAATTTGAATAACAATTTATTTAATTAATCTTTGTTCAATAACGAATCAAGCTTTGCATTTTTTAAGTGATTAAAATATTTGGCACGACGTGTTTCGTGTCTGATACTTATTTGAAAGATTTTAAAAACAACATAAACTAACAAAAAAAAAAACATGATCAATTGATGTTATCGCAACCCTTCTATCCAAACAATATTTCTATTTTAAAATAACAAAGTAAAACATAATCAGAATAAATTTTTTTTTTATTATCTAAAAAAAAATTTAATTTAATTATATTAATCAACGAAAGTAAGAAGTCCTTTAGTAAATAAATAAAACTTGTTGTTTATCCAGATTTTTTTGTTAATCCCAGAATAAATAAGTTATACTTAAGTTGAGTATTTAAAGAAGGAAACATCTATCAATAAAATGCTGTCTACTACAGTTCCATTATAAAACGCGTGTTTCTCGTATTTATTTTTCACATTTTTACAATAATGTTTTACCAGATATAAATTTTACAATTATTTGGTAATTAACTGAAATTTTTATAGGGATTAGTTATCAGTTAAATCATAAATGAATACTTACGTACCTACTTAAGTAACAGACTATTTACTTTTATGTGTAAACTGTAGGTACATAAATAAAAGACTGTCTAAAACGCGCAGTTTCTAGTAGATACTTCTTCACTGTAGAAGGATTTTGTAGTGTATAAAGTACGTTTTCAAAATGGTCCTCCCAACTAAGCATCAAACAAAGGTAATATCATATATCTTCCTTTTTTAAAAAAAAAGACAGTATTTAAATTAATATTTGTGAGGGTTCCAACAATTTCAAGTTTGGATTATTTGTGCCTATTTATGAATTCATTTTCTTTACTTTTTCAACTTATCTGCCTAACTGTAGACTATTTGGTCATTGTATGTATACAATCATTTCATTGGTTCCATTTTATCTTTATCCTAATTATTTTCATACTCTTTTCCATCTATATATATTGCAATCATTGCTGCATTATTTATTCCTATTCTATCAAATTAAGTCTTAACTTCTTGTGTCCATTTCGATCTTGTATTATTACCTCCTCTTCTGCTTATCAATCATGCCCTAGCAATTTTGGTCTCTGTTGCTCAATTTGTTATCTCCTCCTTAATCTGGAAATACATATTTCTTTGTTGTTTCGCGACTTATTGCTTACTTCACTTCCCGGATAGCCGGGAAAGTAACTGAGATTTCTCATTGGAACACAAATTAAGTCACCCTTGTATAATAAAGATTAGGCAAATGAAAATAGTAGTTTGTGCAATAAGAGTGGATATGATAACCATTGCGATACAGTAAATTTGCTGGTGCTGTATTTTTTGTACGGCCCACTCACGAAAATCTACAAAATTTTAAAAATTAATTTAGAAGCTATTAAGATAAAAACTATTTTAAAGATAATTAACACAAACATTTTAAATTATGAATTTTACAGTAATAAAATAAATCTGAATAAATGTCCTTTAGCTGGGATTTAAACGTCTGAGTTTGGAAAGGGAACGCTTCACTCAAATGGTTCGCTAACAACTTTTTACATTTTTTTATGGCTTAAAATTAGTTTGACAGAATTGTCACTTATTTGTTTAAAATAATAGTACACTGGTCACCAAATGGGAACTGTGATTGTTGGATTTCATATCCCTACAGTGTCCTTACTAGAATTGATATGAAATTATATCCGTTCAGCAGAGTGATATGGCGTGCCACATATTATTTTCTTCCTTAATTACATGGGAAATAGCATTCTGCCAATCTTCAGGTTTTATACGTTCTATACCGGTTTTTAATAAACTTTGAACGTCGGCTATTTTAAAAGTTTTATTTTCTCGAGCTACAAACCCTTTCACTTGCGCCCAAATTAGTTCAATAGGATTGATTTCGCAGTGATAAGGGGGAAGTCTCAATACCGTAATACTACGATCACGAGCCATTGTGTCGACATATTGAATATATTTATGGCGGTGTTCTTTTATTAGGTCCATTAATTCCACTTTAAGCATCTCCTCGGTAAATGTTATTACTTTATCCCGCAGCCAGGTTTGCATATCCTACTTTCTTACTGGACATTATCGGAATGCGTTCAACTCGTCGACTGTGATAAGAAGCGTTATCTAGTACAATAACTGAATTTCGTTCTACACGCTGTAATATTTCTGTAAACCATTTTTCAAAGCATTCCGCATTTATGTCCTCGTGGTAGTCTCCTATTTTATTCGATATAAACACAAGAGCGCTATTTTCCAAAAATCCACTGTCACTTCCGATATGGGTAACAATTAGGCGCTGTTCTTTACTTGGTGGTGCTTTCAAACCTGTAGATAATCCCTCTATAAAAGCTTAGCGATGACTAGTTACAGAGGGATCTTGTCATATTTTAGATACCGTGTGTCCAGCATTCACCCACGTTTCATCGGCTCTAAACTCTTTAATATTTCGTAAATAACGCCGTCGCCAGGACACTATATCTGACCTCTCAATTAAAATTGATTTCCTACATCGTTTGACAAAACGAAATTTTAGGCCCCATAAAATTTTTCGTAAAGTTTCACGGCTCATTTATGGAATTTCTTCGTTTTCTCTTAATTTCGTAAGAACAACTTTAAGTGCTGGGGCTTTGTTTTCGAAAAAAAAAGAATGTACAGTTCTTCGAATGATTTGTTTTTGGTTATCGTCCAATTTCAACAATTTTTGACCACGGGTATGCATTTTAGGGGCTTCTAAGGAGCCTTTTTTTGCCTTTTCGCGAAAAATTCGTTTAATTGTTGGAACAGTTAAAAAAGAACTGCGGTTTACAGCTTTATTTGTAGGAAGTGTCTGTTTCAGCCCATCATACACTTTCCATATAATGTTCTTTTCATCCTTTGATAAGGGCTTTCGCCGACGTAATTGAGTTTCACTTGGACCCGCCTCTGAATCCATTACTATTGTAACAATATAATTCTACTATTAAATTGTTTTTATTAAATTTATAAAGACACCAATATTTTACTATTTAATAAACTTTTAAAGTACCTACCTAATATACTACACAATTTGTAAGGCACAAACATGAACACATACTCGTATATCAGAAAAGAGCACTTATACAAAAAAGTGATTATAAAATATAAAATAATTATCGTAAATAGTTAAAGCGATACAAATCTAACTTCGTCGAAAGTTAGTTTTCAACTGTCTTTGTGCCTATGCTGACAATATTCAATCTGTAACTCGTCTGTCGTTTATTTACTTGAAACACATTTTAAAACCATTAAACAGATAACGAAGTTATTAGGGAATAAATATATTCATTTCTTGAAAACTATCAAAAACGTATATTTAACGCATCATCTTTGTTTAAATAAAGATGTTGACAGACAAATTTAATAAAGTTTACTAACAAATACCTTATAAATAATAAATAATTATTTGGTATTTGATACGTTGCCTATGCTGACTCTGTCGGAATTTTCATTCATAGACAACAGTGTTGATCATCCATATGACTCACTTTCTCCAATATTTTGTCCGAGTATAGTTGGTGCATAATAGTAATTTGTGCAACAAGAGTGGATATGGACAATCCACTCGAGTTGTACAGTATATTTTTTGTATGAGCCACTCATGAAAATCTATAAATTTAAAATTTATCGATTCCACACAAAAATAACTCATTTTAATATATATTTAATCTCAATAACTAAAAAATATACTGACAATTAGTTGGACATAATTTTCACTTATTTAAAATTTTAAAAATAATAAGCTAATTAATGTACCTACATGTGGGTGTAGAAAAATAAATAATATGCATTTGAATGCAAAAAAAGCGAATTTCTAATTCTAAATTTTTGTGGTAATTATCTTTAAAATAGCTATTTTATCTTAATAACGTCTAAATTAATTTTTTAAACTTTGTAGGTAATCGTTGGTTGGTCGTAGAAAAAATATACTTCACAACTTGAATGCATTATTCTTATTCTTACTTTTATATTGAACTAATGTATAGGTACTTTATAATTTTGTTTGTTTGTTGATTTTATTAGTTTATTTCAATGCTAGTCTTGCCCTATTTTCTACACATTTATCTACATACCTAAATGATGTTTTTAAAATGATCATTCACATCAAAAAGTAATTACTTTGAAATCCAAATTGCTGGACAAGCACCGTTCTAAAATTTTAATTAGTCTATTAAAGAAAATTGTCACGTTTGTAGAGTGAAAGCATACTATTTTACACTTTTATAATTTATTCACAAAATGTTAAAAATTTAAATAAATTTAAAAAATTATCCGTGATTTTAAACGTTATAGTTTTTAATGAAAAGGAAAGCTATACTGAATTACTTTTCTATTTTTTAGAACAAAATGGCCGATTACGGAAAATCCAGTACTGTTCCACAATATATTGCAGCGTTATCAAGTAAGTACATTTTTAATATCTAAATTCGGAACACATTATTGCTCATATAAAACTAAATGGGCTTACTATGTACAGGGTGATTCTTTTATCATGGGAAATGAGTTTTTCTCCTAAACGGCTGCAGCAAATTGAGTTCTGTAAAAAGTATTTTATTTAAGCCGATTGATGCTTGAAATTATGATGGATATGGAATTTATAATTAAGCGACGCTTCACATGTTTTTTTGTCAGAAGCATACCAATTTTATTTCAGAAATTGAAAGATATATTCAATAGAAACACTTTTTTCAAATACCATTTTTTTCATACTAAAATCATTCAAAAATTACAGACCAGTTTTTATCTTTTAAATTAGTTGATTGCCATGCAAAGAATGCAGGGTATTTTAAATTTCACTAAATCAGGTAGGCTTTGAAAAACAAAATTGGCTTATACTGATTGATGTCTGAAACTGTCAGTGTAGTTTTAATTATTTCTATTAAAATAGTAAGTAATTTAGACTGGGAAAGAAGTACACACTCAGTGGTTAAATGATTGGGTTGAATTGAGTAATTGAGTACTCAAGTGTGTATATATAAATGTTTAATACAATTTGGCTAGCGCTTTCGACAAAACATTGCCATCTTCAGGCCGTCCTACAAAGTTTAAAATTTAATACGAGAAGTAAGGGTGAAATAATTACCTTACGTCAATAGATATCTATCCAGAGTTAAAATTGAATAAAAATACATGGGTTAAAACATTGAATACATTTTTGAAAAAGGGGGTGTTGAAAATTAGCAAAACACACCCTTATATTTCGTATTTTACAAATACTATGGGGTCTATTCTGTAACAACTCCTCTATATTCAACGGCCCTTAAAAATATTGGCGGCCTTTAAAAATATGTTCGTATTCATTAATTTACTTCTGTCATCATTTAAACAGATTTCTTTAAGATAGTCCTCTAATGTATTTTAAAGATCCGTTTAAATAATGACAGAAGTAAAGAAGAAAATATTTTTAAAGGCCGCCAAATATAAAGGAATTGTTACAGAACAGACCCCAATGTCGAACACTCCCTCCTTACGCCTATGTCATGTGTCAGTCTGTCTATGTGTCATTTGTCCACTGTCTAATAGGTACGATGTACCGTTAAAAATTAAATTTTTTTTTAACTGATATGGGGTCTGTTCTGTAACAATTCCTTTATATTTAACGGCCTTTAAAAATATTTTCTTCTTTACTTCTGTCATTATTTAAACGAATTTTTAAAATACATTAGAGGACTATCTTAAAGAAATCTGTTTAAATAATGACATAAGTAAATTAACGAATACAAATATACTTTTAAAGACCGCCAATATTTTTAAAGGCCGTTAAATATAAAGGAATTGTTACAGAATAGACCCCATATCAGTTAAAAAAATTTTTAATTTTTAACGGTACATCGTACCTATTAGACAGTGGACAAATGACACATAGACAGACTGACACATGACATAGGCGTAAGGAGGGAGTGTTCGACATTGGTTCTGGAGTTAACCGATCCATGTGATCTATACTTATTCAAAAATGATACAATGGTTGAAAAGTTGGAAAGGGTATAATAAGTTTCTGCAGGACATGATCCACACAGCGGTCCAGAGGGACTTATTATAATGGTTTGGGGGAACTATTGTAGCTTCGAATTTGGCCTAGTATGGATCTAGAGTCATTACCCTTACCCTTCCTCTACTCTAAAAATTCGAAGCTACAATAGTTCCCCAAACCATTATAATAAGTCTCTCTGGACCGCTGTGTGGATCATGTCCTGTAGAAACTTATTATACCCTTTCCAACTTTTCAACCATTGTATCATTTTTGAATAAGTATAGATCACATGGATCGGTTAACTCCAGAACCAATGTCGAACACTCCCTCCTTACGCCTATTCATGTGTCAGTCTGTCTATGTGTTATTTGTCCACTGTCTAATAGGTACGATGTACCGTTAAACATTAAATTTTTTTTAACTGATAATGGGGTCTATTCTGTAACAATTCCTTTATATTTAACGGCCTTTAAAAATATTTTCTTCCTTACTTCTGTCATTATTTAAACGGATCTTTAAAATACATTAAAGAACTATCTTAAAGAAATCTGTTTAAGTAATGACAGAAGTAAATTAACGATTACGAACATATTTTTATAGGCCGCCAATATTTTTAAAGGCCGTTAAATATAAAGGAATTGTTACAGAATAGACTCCAATGGGGTCTATTCTGTAACAATTCCTTTATATTTAACGGCCTTTAAAAATATTTTCTTCTTTACTTATGTCATTATTTAAACGGATCTTTAAAATACATTAGATGACTATCTAAAAGAAATCTGTTTAAATAATGACAGAAGTAAATTAACGAATACGAAAATATTTTTAAGGCCGCCAATATTTAACGGCCTTTAAAAATATTGGCGGCCTATAAAACTATGTTCGTATTCGTTAATTTACTTCTGTCATTGCTTAAACAGATTTCTTTAAGATAGTCCTCTAATGTATTTTAAAGATCCGTTTAAATAGTGACCGAATTAAAGAAGTAAATATTTTTAAAGGCCGTTAAATATAAAGGAATTTTTACAGAATAGACCCCAATGGAGTCTATTCTGTAACAATTCCTTTATAACGGCCTTCAAATATATTGGTGGCCTTAAATATATGTTCGTATTCGTTAATTTACTTCTGTCATTATTTAAACAGATTTCTTTAAGATAGTCCTCTAATGTATTTTAAAGATCCGTTTAAATAATGACAGAAGTGAAGAAGAAAATATTTTTAAAGGCCGTTAAATATAAAGGAATTGTTACAGAATAGACCCTAATGGGGTCTGTTTAATCAGATTTTTCCTAAAAATTTCAAGTTGATATTGTTTTCTGTTTTTGATTTATATATTTTTTTAATTTAAACCCCCGTTAATCCCCCATTTTTATTTAGATTTGTAGTGCTAGCTTTTTCCTGAAAATTTCAAGTGGTTTTTCGTTTTTATTTTATCCCCCCCTTAATAGGCTTCGTTCCCTTCGTTCCTAAAAATTTCAAGTTGATTTTGTTTATCGTTCTACATTTATTATTATTTTTTTTTTTTTTTAATTTTAATACCCTCATTTTTAATCAGATTTTTTAAAAATTAATAGGCTTCGTTCCATTGTAGAGCTTGATTTTTCCTGAAAATTTCAAGTTGATATTGTTTTTCGTTTTTGTTTTATGATTTTTTTATGTTTCAATCCCCCCTTAACCCCTCCATTTTTAATCAAATTTTTTTCAAAATCATTAGGCTTCGTATAGAGCTTGATTTTCCTGAAAATTTTAAGTTCATATCATTTTTCGTTTTTGACTTATCGTGCGTACAAAAACGTGACATCGGATGGACATTTTTAAAAGTTGTTTAAAATTTGATAAAGATTTTGGTACAAAATTTTTTAAATTTGGATGAATTTAGAATTTTTGTGTTACGGGTTAATTGTAAAAATTTAATTAATTTAAATTTGAATATCTTTTCTGGGCATAATTTAAAACAAATAGTAAATTTACCTGTTTTCCAATAAGCTGACACAAAATAAATGAAGGCAAAGTAAAACTATTAACTTTATTCGGAATATCCTTCTAGTACAATGTATAACAATTTATTTCAAATGTTCTACTCCCATCATAATTCTTCTTAGTTCACTAATAGGGTCTTTTCTATCTTCTTATAGTGACTTTCTAAATATAATATAAGTTTACTTACTTTGTATGGCCCAAAAGATTAGTTGTGAATCTTCACGTATAGTATGCATACCACACAGAAGACCGGGGCTTGATTTTATTGTAATTAATTGTAGCATAACTTCATCCCATTGTAAATATCTTATAAACAACAAACTCCATCTATTTGCTGCAGATAATAAAATACTGTAGAGAGACAACCCCCTTGTTTAATTAAAGATATAAATTTAAGTGCCCGAACCACTTCACAGAAAACCCTGGAATCAGGAGATAATTTAATTAACAAGGTTAAATCCCCCTTTTAAAGTAACAAGTTTCTTGAAAGTAAACTTATAATACTCTTCACAGACTATATATACTGTGTGAAGAGTATAATAAGTAGTGAATTTTTTTAAAGAACTAAGCAACAATATTATGGTACTAGGTGTAGAAAGCGAACTTTATCGTTAATCCCAGGAGCTTGTCACAGCCGAATGGCTAGCCGAGGATGTGCAGACTGGGCGAATTGATACAGATAAAGGCCTTTACGGTATCCACATTTAAATTCAGTGGAATATTTTTATTAAAAATATCTCAAAAAAAAAATTATATTATGACGAAATTCTTGATAATATTGCAGAATATATTTAACAATATTACACCCGAAATTGTTCGAAACGCAACCGAAAAAATTACTAGCCAAGCATTATAAAATGTCTTGAACATGGGAGAGGACATTTCGAGCAATTTTTACAGAATTTAAACAATTCACAATTGATGTTTAATTACATTATAATTCAAAAGTTGTTTGTTTCAATAGTTTAAATTAAATGTTTGTAGTTATTAAAAAAAATATATATAGCCAGTGGCGTAGCCGTGAGAGGGTTTTAGGGGTCAGAATCCCCATAGTGTGCCTTATTATACTCTTCACACAATAGTCTATGTAATATTATTCCAAATTTAAAAAAAAAATGTGCTTACCAAAATCCTCAACAAATTTGAAAAATATCCATCCGATATCATGAATAAAAATGGGGGTTAAGAGGGGTTGAAATATTAAAAAATCCTAACTCAAAAACAAAAAACAATATAAACTAGAAATCTTCAGGAAAAATCAAGCTCTATAAGGGGATGAAGTCTATTGATTCTGAAAAAATCTGATTATAAATTGGAGGTTAAGGGAGGTGTATTAAATAGCCTAGGGAAACGCTTTAAAAACGAAATGTCGTTAAGTACAATAGTTGGCAACTAAGCAATACTATTGATATAATAGTAGTTTTTTTTCGAATGTGTCAAAAAAC